TATCTATCTATCTATCTATCTATCTATCTATCTATCTATCTATCTATATGGTTGTCTGTGTAGAATGTGTGTGTGTGTTGCCCACAGAGGCCAGAAAAGGACATGGATTCCCTGGAACTGGAGTTTAGAAGGCTGTGAGCTGCTGTGTGGGTGCTGGAAACTGAACCAGAGAAACAAGTGTTCTTAACTGCTGAGCCATCATCTCTCTAGCTCTTTGTCTCCACTATTTAATCAGCATGTTTAGTATTTAAACTGTTGCTGCATGCATGAGACCTTCAAGATAAAGCCTTAGGGCTGGAGAGAGAACTGCATAGGTAAAGTGCTGTGTGAGTCTGATAACCCGAGCTTGTTCCTTGGGCCTACAGAAAAGAGGGAAAGAAAATAATCCACACACACACACATACGAAGACGGGGGGGGGGGGGGTGTCTTTTGAAAGTGTCACAGAAAGAGGGAGTAGGCAGGGTGATTAGACCTTCCCTGGAGAATCTACACCTGCTCGCTGTCCACTGTATATAATTCTGCCCCAACTGCATGTGAGTTGGGAGGGCACTGGACTAATTATTTAGGAGGTGGAAGACAGACTAAAGGAGGGACCCATCTATGCAGCTCCCACAGACTTGTGAGTCCTCTGTGATATGGCTGCTCGGGATCACCATGCTCATGTAAGAAAACCAGTAGATTGGACTGAAATTATTTTTCTTTCTCTCATTGGTGCTCTATCTGGAGCACAGGTGGAAGACACAGCAGATGGGCTGGGGAGGCGACTTCCTGAGGCCTTTCTCAACCACGCTTGTCACGTGGGTTCTGAACTTCAGGGCCTTACTTCCTAAACATGCATTTTTCATTTACATTTTTATTGAAATACAAAATGTGCAAACAGTGAAATACATGATTGGTGCCAAAGAAATCATGGTGAACACTGGATTCACAGTAAGAGGAGAGCATTCCCAGCTACAGACCGACAGGGCAGGAGGAAGATTAGAGAGGTCCAAAAGGCTCCTCGGTACATGGAGTAAAGCAACACTTGATAGAAAATGCAGTGACCCATGCGGATCAGGTGTGAGGCCAGGACTGGCAGCAGCAGCGCTTGAAGCACAGAGCAGTGGGGCAGGGAAAAGGCAGCGCTCAGGCCCAGCCTCATCCGCAAGATCGTCAATGCAGATGCCACAGTCCCATCTCTGGAGCTGGCATGCCTGGCCACACCTGAGGGGCAGGGTCACTAGGGCACAGACTTCGGGAAGAGGGTCACAGCACTTCCTTAGGTAACAATGAAAGCTATCAATCATCACCGGGCTCAGGTTTTCTGAAAGACAGCAGGGCCTGTGGCCACCATACTCACCTAAGGGAGTTGCTAGAACCTACCCGGTAAGGTGATCTATTAGTAAAACCTCTGCCCCTCTTAGGGGTTCTGAGATTCTGCCCCTCCAAGAGTCCTCAGGCAGGAGGTGAGAGCTGCCATGGGTCCTGAGGCACTGGCATCTCTGGCCAGAAAAGGGACCAGAGTGACTCTCCATCAGAAAGGCCCACCATAGCCCCTGGCTGAGGATTTGTGCACGTGAGAAGGAAGGGAAGGCATATGGAGGGCTGATCCGCTGGATACTGGGGAGCTCTCCCCGGGAGGGGACAGGTCTACTTCAGCAGATGCTCAGATTCTAGTCTTATTATCCAAGATGCCAAGGGTGGCAGAAACGGGGAACTAGCACACTCTTAGGGCAGTACCACTTGGGAAGGAAGAGACCCCGTGGGCAGAAGTGACAAGACAACTCTGGTCTTGTCATCCCTATTAGTAGGGAGGGCAGGCACAGAGAACTCGTACCCAGGCCAACACTTACTTCCTAGCAATTTGGAAAGAGAGGACCAGCCCCAGCTACCAGCACAGCTGGCAGTGATTTAGTCTAAGGTTGCCAGGGAAACAGGCAGGAGAAAGGAAAAGGGTTGCTGGAGCTCAGTCCTAGAAGAGCCAAGCCCAGTTCTGGAAAGCCCAGCAACCAGAGGCAGTGAGAGGTATAAGGCAGAGAAAATGTTTTCTGGTAACAGAGGCCTCCAGGGCTGTGATGTGGGCTGGACAGAGGGAGAGGAGGGACTGCCCAGTTAGGGGTTCCAACTTCCATCTCCTGGGGCTTCAGGACCCCTTCCTAGGCAGGATCCCTGGACTCCAGTAAGGTTAATACCTGGAGGACAAGTCCAACTGGGGCTGCCAGAGGAGGGGATGGAGGTTCGGACTGAGCTCAGACCCCCTGGGTATCTGTGCTGGGGAACAACTCCCCTTGGTGATCCAGGAGGAACTTCGTGAAGGTGTTGATGGGGTTGATGGCCTTGAGGGTGATGGCAGCATCCTTGGCCCACAGCAGGTTGGGACCGAAGACCACAGCCAGGTTAGTATTGGTCATCTTGTTCTGGTCACAGTGGGCAGATACCTGTGGAAAGAAATGGGGCAACAGCTAGCATCTATGGCCCCTGCCTCCTACTCCCAGTGACCACACCCAGAGCATGCAAGCAGTGAGAGCACTTCCTTCCCCTCACCAGCTGAGCAGCAGAGGCCAAGGGGAGTCTCACCTGTACCAGGAAGGCAGTCAGGAAACGAAGCACCTGGTAGTTCTCCTCTGGCAGAGTTTGCAGAACCTGCTGTGTCATCTCCACTCTCTGGCTTTCATCAATATCTGTGAGGAGTGGAGGCCTATTTCACATAGGGCTAACTCTGGAAACCATGACAGGAAACTTGAGGGGAACACCAAATGAGCTTCCTGGGAGCTGCTTTGGCCCACACACTTGCAGGGCAGGGTGGGTAGATGTATGGAGACACACACACACACAAGTTCCAGAGGATTTATATAGCTGGGGAGAAAACAAAGAACTCACTGAGGAAGCCCACAACGTGGGGGTAGAGGTCAAAGGTTAGCAAGGGTTCAGGAAGCTCCCGAAGAAAGGTCTTGAGGATGACTGCTGGCAGGTGCAGCTCATTGTACTGGTCAAAGTCCACCGGCAGCCCTTTAAGGGGGAAAGGGGAGAAAGAAATGGAGACAGCACTAGGCCAAGGCAGAGGCCAGCTGGCCCTGTGGCCTTACTTCATCCTGGTCCACTGCACAAGCTGCTTTTCCCCAGGGTCCCCAGTTACATCTGTCTCTTCTCTTCCATAGCAAGGGCTATAGGCTAAGACCACCTGGAGAGTGTGAGGGCACTGAAAACATGGAAATTACCCCTTGCTTCTAAATGAACCTGAACCCAAGACTGCAGCTCCTGCAAGCGAGGCAGCAAGCCTGGGAGAGCCAGGCAGAAGGAAGGTCTCTATGGTCACACCAAAAGACACGGGAACTTGTGGCAAGAAGAGACCTGGCTTACAGCTCCTCACAGCCGCATGTCCCATCCTGTTAAACATACACACACAGACCCACTCACCCATATTGTACTTCTGCTGCACTTCCCGGACAACCTGGGTGTTGGCAGACCTCCGGAAGATGCCCTCGGTGGAGAGAGCTGGGAAACAGGGGGGCTGGTGAGTCTCTGAACTCTGAGTGATGGATCCCGTCCCTGCGCTATCGGTCTTGGAGTTCCATGAAGGGTCACTGGGAGCACACTTTCCTCTCTCCTGCCCAGAGTTTCTCAGGCTGGGGGACGGGGTGGCTTAGACGGTTGGTAGGCCTTGCACTGCATGGCACTCACCGTGAGCCTTCAAGTAGGCAACTGTCTCCCTGAGCACAATGGGAATGGGCTCCTGGTCTGGGTTTTTCTCCTGGAGGCTGTGGGAGCAAAGGCGTGAGCTGGGACTCTGCATGCGGCTCCAGCCCCCAGCAGCCCCGACCCGTCTGGCCTTAGCATACTCACTGCTGCAAGGAGACCCCAAACTGCTGATTAGGCAGTGGGGGGCGCGGCGGCATGGGCTTGGGGGCTGTTGCAGGGCTCTTCTGTGTAGATTTGAGGAAATCATCATACCTAGGAGCAGACAGGACAAGGCTCAGGTCCTCTATCCAGCTTTACTGTGGGATTATACATGGATCACTTCATATGTCCTCAAAACAGCCCCACTTGATGTGACACAGTGGAAAACAAACACTTAAAGGAGATTCAGCCAATAGCTTGTGACAGTCTCTGCATCCTGACATTGCCTTTTCCGGGGGCTCTCCAGACTCCTGACCCTGGCCCAGGCCACTCTGCCTCCCGGACGGCACCCCCGCATAATGGAGCCAGTGGATCCTGCGCACACCCCCACGCCCAGTTTACGGGTGCCCAGCTGTCTCACTTGAGCACTTGGCGAGGGATGCCGAGCTGCTCCAGCTTGACGTGCTCGCTCAGCTCACTCAGGTAGTTCACATAGAAGATCTTCCGACCAAACTTGAAACTGGAGGCGAAGGGAAGCATCTGGGTCAGGCTGGGCCCCATGGGAGGCCTGGCTCTCCCTGAACACAGGCTTCGCCCCGAGCTGGCTGCCCTGTGTGCATGGAGCATCAACGAGCCCAGGCCCACTGTGGCCTGCTCACCTGATGAAGGGCTTGAAGAGGATAAGCAGGGTTTTGATGAACATGGTCGGGTGCACGATGTACAGGGCCTTGATGTTCTTCTTGTACCTGTGGGCCAAGTGGGACACTTGCAAATGGTGGCGTGAGGGCCAGGCCTGTTGGGGGCCCTGTCTCTAGTGACATGGGGTAAGCTCCTGACCAAGAGGAGAACAAGCCAGAGCCCAGAGAGCTGCTGGCTCAGGGCTGGCCACCGCAGGCTCGGGAGGCCACCCCTTTGCCCCAACCCACTTGCGGTCAAACTCCCGGTAGGCGTCCCGTAGCCAGCTGAGGGAGGGCTTGTTGTCACTGGTCAAGCCGTGGTGCAGGTAGAGCAGTGTGTAGTCACTCTCCACATACTGGTCCAGGGTGTGCTTCAAGTACCTTCAAGAGAAATGCCCGGGGCTCGGGGCGTGGCTCCATGGTGGAGTAATCAATTACCCAGCCTGCAAGAGCCACAGGCTCAACACCCGACACCATAAACACATACAAAGCCCCGTTCAGACCTGTCCTCTGCACATAGGTGTGGCCCTGTTGAGATAGAAGCCAGCACTTTTGCCATGGCTCCCTTCTCCACAGGCCCTCCCTGCTATCATTTGACTATGTAAACCACAGCTGCTTCCCTGGAAGGAGGCAGAGAGTAGAGGCTGGGCCCAACGGAGAAGTATGCTAACAGTTCTCATTTTGAGCAGCAGCAATCAGGAGGCCCAAGCTCCAAGCTAGGCTGTATATCCAAAGTTAAAAGGGTTTGGCATGTTCTTCTCAGGATCTCCCTGAGTCAGTAACAAGGACAGTTACTGCTATTGGTAAAAGCTTTTAGTGTCTGCCAAGGACCTTCAGTACATTACCTCATTCTTCCCTCAGAACAGCTGAGACTAAAGTTAACTCCATCTAATAAGGGCAAGCAGCAGAGGTCAAGTGCTGAGCCAAGGTTTCAGTTTATGGTGGAGCCTAGTGGTGAAGTGTCCAACTCCAACACTGCATTTTAGACCTTGGACCAGTTTGGCCCTTTTTATGTGACCTGTGGTATGGTCTGTAAAACACTGTGCCCATGAAAAGACATTAGGGTGGCCAGAAGGTCAACTGTTTGCATCCCTAGGCTCTTAACGGACCACAAAGCCACACTCCTCAGGTTCCCAACGGTTGCAACTGGGGATGTACCACCCCAACACACACACACACACACACACACTGAGCACACTGGAAAGTTTGAAAGTAATGAATAATGGGAAAAGGGAGGAGAGCCCAGGGTAAGATCTCTTAGAAGATGGACAATCAGTTCCTTGGCTCTAGCAAGGACACCGCTCCAGGTTGGGCAAGCTGAATGCTAAACACATCCAAGAGGAGGGAGTGTCTGGGGGAGTGCCCAGTGACTTGACTGAGAACCCAGATGAATGACCTGACCTAGAGACAGTGGCCTAATGACTAGTCCCCAGGACGCACAGCTGTGCCTGCGCAGGGAGGCAGGGCCTAAGTGTTAGTGCTCAGCTACCACAGAGGCAGATCATTAGTAAATGGAGAATAACTGAGCCCTCATCCACATGTCCACACTGAGCACTTTCTAGTTTACAAAGGGCTGTCACATAGAAAAGATGGCATTTTGCAATTAGGAAAGTAGCCAAGATGACAGTCAAGTAGACACACACACACACACACACACACACACACACACACACACACACGCACCCCGAATCCAGGATGCACGCCACAACTTTGGACTGCAATAAAGTGATGTCTATTAGAAGCTGGGCAGCACTCACGCACTCTGGCCATGTAAAAGTGTGTTCAGGAAGATTTCTTAAGGAAACAGAGAGGAACAGCAACATTCTTGTAGGAGACTGTTCATTCCAGAGTTTTATTAGGGAAAAAACAACAACTGAGCAGGCAGCAAACTGTCCAGTATCAGGAGACTGACTAAAGAAATCATGGGACATCTATAAATAGACTATCTCACAGGATGTGTCTACAGACAGGATTAATCTGTGAAGTCAGGCGTCAGAACAGTGGTCCTCCCTGAGGCAGGCGCTGGCAGAGCAAACTGGAGATGGGAAAGGGAGCACTGATTGCTATGGAGTTTCTGTTCTGTTTTGTATTCAGGTTTTTTGTTTTGGTTTGTTTTTTTGTTTTTTGTTATTTTTTTTTCGAGACAGGGTTTCTCTGTGTAGCCTTGGCTATCCTGGACTTGATTTGTAGACCAGGCTGGCACTGAGCTCACAGAGATCCTCCTGCCTCTGTCTCCCTGAGTGCTGGGATTACAGGAGGGTGTCACTGTGCCCCTCTGTATTTATTAGGTTTTTTGAAACAAGGTCTTACTCTGTAGCTCAGGGCAGCCTGAAACTCATAACCCTCCTTCACAAGCTCGCCAAGTCCTGGACTGAAGACAGGCATCATCAGATTCACCGGACACTGGGTGGTGGATGGAGTGTTCTATGTATGTAGTCTGCACACTTAAGAGGCTGAGGCCAAAAGGTCACTTAAGCCCAGCTATTTAAGGTTAGCTTGGGCAACAAAATGAGAGCTGTCTTTTAAAAAAAGTAGTACACAATCTGTTTACCTTTCTATATGCATATTACATGTAAATTCCATGTTTTGTGTGGGTTTGGGGAAGGATGCGGGGGAGGAAAGACAGGATTTCACTGTATAACCCAGTCTGGCAGGTGACTTCCTCTATAGATCAATCTGGCCTGAAACTCACAGAGATCCACCTGCTTCTGCTTCCCAAGCGCTGTGATTAAAGGTGTGCACTATCATGCCTGGCTAAATAACATGATTTTAAGGATGTCTTTGAGCAATGTTTTATACCCAGAAGATGAAAGAATGTATAAGACATAAAACTAAACAAAGAAAAAAATACAAAGTGAATATAGCAAAATACAGTGGTTTTCTTTCTGCATGACAGGTCTGTGAGACTTTATAATTTTACAGTTGTTGTTTTTCCTGAATAACTACTTACATACTTTTAACTTCTCAAAATTGTAATACTCTAAAAATATAGATGATGGAATTTCACTATTACCACCACCGCTCTGAGGAAGACGCAATTCTCGTTTATACAGAACTCAGAAAGACTTGCTCCAAGCACATAGCTTGTTGAAAGACAGAGCCCAACTGGTCTTCAGATTCCAAGCTTCAAGCATTTTTCCATTTCAACCCCCTTGATCTCGGTGGGGTGTGTGGAAAAGACAAGTCTGATGCAGTCTGGCTGGAAACAGGGCAGACAGAAGGCCATGGAAGCAGAGACTGCTCTCAGCAGGGACTGTGTCAGGCGTGTGTGTGTGTGTGTGTGTGTGTGTGTGTGTGTGTGTGTGTGTGATGTGTATCTGTGTATGGTGTATGTGTGTCTTTATGTATGGTGTGTGGTGTGTGTCTGTATGTGACGTGTGTGTGTAATGTGTGTGCTGTATGTATATGGTGTGTGTTTATGAGTGTATGGAATGTGTGATGTGCATGTCTGTATGTGTGGTTTGTATATATGGTGTGTGTGTGTGTATATATATATATATATGATGTGTATGTGTGCATGTGTGATGTGTATGTGTATGATGTGTGTGTGCTGCCTACAGGCTGGGATGTATTCTGTTATGTCTCTAGCACAGCACCAATGCGAGTATGTGTCTGTCTGTCTGTCTGCTGCCTGAAGATGAGGATGTAGCTCTGAGCTACTTCTCCAGCACCATGTTCACCCGCATGTGGCCATGCTCCCCACCAAGACGACCAGCAAACAAAGCAAGCCCTAATTAAATGCTTTCTTTTAAAAGAGCTGCCTCTTGGTGCCTCTTCACAGCAATAGAACAGTGACTAAGATGAGCAGCCTCTGGACTGTGCTGCAGAGATTGCTAACATTCACACTTGGTAAGCAGACGCCCCACAGGTACAGAAACCATTGACAGCACACTTGACATAAGGTAAGATAACGCTAACTATGATTATAAATAGAAATATTAAGAATCATGACTGCATCAGAAACACCATAGTTATACACGTTTGGATAGGATTTACATTTCAAGATTACTGTCTGGTGCCTGTCAGGAAGAGGCCGCGGCCTTCATTATCTTCTTTGAATGATGAGAAGATAAGGCCTGCCAAGGTCACGTGCCCAGGACTAGAAGTCAGGTCTGACTCCAGTGTAGTGCTCTTCCCCAGAAACAGAACTGCTGCCTCATGGGATGAGAGGTGACTGGAAGGAAGGTGACCAGGTGCCCCAGGGGGAAGAGGAGAAAAAGAAAAGTGGTTCCAGGCTACCAAGGGTCTAGAGAGGGCCCATTCTGCTGACACACAGGTACTCACCCCAAGAGCTTGCTGTGGTCCAGCTGGTGGCTAGGGGGCATTCGACAAGCACTGAACACAATGATCTTCCGCCCGTACTTATCATCACCTAAGTGTGGAGAAAAATGGAGTACAGTAGGTGAAAGATGAATCAGAGTGGCGGTGGCTTAAAAAGTACCAATGGGGGCCTGTGCCACTGAGTGTAGGGGCTTGAGTGACCCAAGTCCATTACCAACGGCATGGTGGGTACAGTTGCTTTCAGAGGCACTGAATTGGGACACCACTACCCCAAAATTTTAACCTTGCTTTTTTTTATAATATTTTTATCGATTGTTTGAGAATTTTGTATCATGAACCCAGAGCACACTCATTTCCCAGTCCTCCTAGGTTCCCCCACACACACACTTAGAACTTCCTCCCACCCCACAAAAAACAAGGAGGAGGAGAAGGAGGTCCAATTTGCATTGCCCATATAATCACGGGGTCATTGACCAACTCCCGGTAGCCAGCTCCTTAAAAAAAGAACTGAGTTCAGCCTGGCATGGTGGTGCACTCCCTTGCTTCCAGCACTCTGGGATACAGAGGCAGGTGGACTGCTGTGAGTTCAAGGCCAGCCTGGTCTACAAAGCAAGCCCCTGACACCCAAGGCTACACAGAGAAACCCTGTCTCAAAAGCCAAAAAACAAAACAAACAAACAAAAAAGGATATTCATGCAGCAGAAGCCTGGCCATAAAAAGAAACAAAGTACTGATATAGGGCACAAAATATGTGAACTTTGAAAATATGCCGTGAGAGCAGCCTGGCACAACAGGGCAGCTACTGCCCGATTCTTGCGAGAGTCGAGGACAATGGTTCTGATATCCTGCATATCAGATATTTACACTATTATTCATTACCGTGGCAACACTACAGTCACGAAGTATCAACAAAAATCATTTTATGGTTGGGGTCACCACAGCAGTAAAGGTCACAGTGTGAGGAGGGTGGAGAACCACTGCTCTCAGACCACAGGTCCGTAGAGGCGGGAAGCAACTGAGTAGGCCTCCAGGTGCTGGGAGGAGGGAGGCAGGGAGCACTCCCAGACAGGTACTGGGGTTGATTTGTGCATGAACACTAACACTGCTCTAATAGGCTGGCACGTCAGCTCAACGGCACTTGCTCTGAAGCCTGACAACCTAAGTTTGTAAGTTTGATCCCCAGGGCCCATACAGTAGGAGAAAAACGATTCCTTGGAGTTACCTTTGACCTCCCTGTGTGTGTGCCATGGATCACACACACATGTGCATGCACACACAAAATACATATGATTCCGTTCAATTTTTTTAACTGTTCTAGTGGTACACACCTCCAGTCTCATCGTAGGAGGCTGAGGCAGGAAGGTGGCAAAGTCAAGACCAACCTGGGCCACAATAGCAAGATCTTGTCTCCAAAACAAAGGCCCTCATTCACCAAAAACATACTCATCAAGGTCTACACTAGCTTTCTAGCCAGATACCCTACAGCTGGTTTACCCTGAGCACGGAGCAGCGGGGACCTGGAAACCTCTAGAGGCTGCTTCTCAGCCAGTCCGAGGCTGCGGGGGAAAGTGGTCTGGTTGCGAGACAGGGGGTCAGCCACCCTGGTAAGCACACCTCTGCCCACCGAAACTTTCTGATTTTGCTACTAGGGTGGCTGAGCACACTAGCCTCTGAATGAGCTCTGGACACTTCTAAAAATCTTGCTTTTTCCATTAAAAGTATTTTGAAGAACATAGAATTCAGGGGCATTTGTGAAGCTGTGGGAAAATGTCAGCAGGTGTTTTCTCTCAGAGGTATTTGTCCCAAACACTCAATGTAATGGGCTGGCCTCTGGCTGTCCCAAAGCCAGAAAGGGCTTGAGACACATGCCCCAGATGAAATGTTCCTGCAGGGTCAGCTTGGTGCAGGGCTCCTCAGCAAAGCTCAATGGGTAGGTAATAAAGGTGGCAGATTTCCAGGGTAGCCGGCTTCTCCTCACCCTCCTGACAGGATAAAAGCCTGGCAGCTTAAAAGTGAAAGCAAAGCCTTGGGGCTGGAGAGATGGCTCAACACTGCCTGCTCTTCTAGAGGTCTGGGTTCCATTCCCGGCACCCACATGGTGGCTCACAACCATCTATGCAGGGATCTGATGCCCTCTTCTGGCATATACATGTAGATAGAGAACTCATATACATAAAATAAATAAATCTTTTAAACAGACAATCTGAAGGCCTTGTAGGCTTTCCTCTCCCATCAGCAAGAGGCCTGTTGACGGACTGGCTCAACAAGTTCAAGAAGACCTGATCAGGACGTTACACAGCCACTGTGGGCCAGTCAACCACCCAGTCTGCTCCAAACTGACCAAGCCCACATTAAGGGAGGAAAACTCTTCAGAGACTTAAAACACTGCAGGTCTCCAGAGGAGACCGCTCTGCTCCAGAGGGCCATCTTCCTGATGGATCTGCTGCATCTGTGTCTCCTCAGCCCCACAAACGCTGTTCAACTGCTGGTTCTGCCTGCCGAGGTCTGCAGTGGTCCAGGTTCTCCACAGCCACCTGTTGTGCTCCATATTTTTTTCTGCCCTTTAATTCTTTAACTGGCAGAGAAAACAAATCTGATCCAGGCCCCAAATTGTGTCTCCAAGCACTGGGAGGTGGAAGCAAGAGAATCGGGCTTTCAAAGCAAGTATCAGCTACACAGTAAGGTCAAGGCCCAGCGAGACACCCTATCTCAAGAAAGAAAAAAATCCTTACAATGGCTCACAGGACTCTCAGGCTGCACCAAGCACATCTTTCACAGACACTCTGGAAGCCTGGCATGCCAGGCTGTTTGTTGTTTATATCAACCAGATCTTTCTCCACACAGTTCTGTTCCCAAGAGGTCATTACAGACCTTGGAGACTCAACACACACACACCTGCCTCCGCCTTCCCTGAAACAGGTGAGCTGGCTCTTCCCAAGTCTCCCAGCAGTGACGGCCATCCATCTCTGCCACAGTTTCTACTCTCCTGTGTAACTCATGCTCTATTTCCCACTGGCTCATGAGGAGCCCGAAGGCAGGGGCTGTGCTTCCTGGCTCTGACTTGCTCCTGTCAGCCCACTCTTGCCAAGCACTCAGGAAGTGCTGGTGTATGTGTGATGTGTGGTGATACACACCTGTGACCCCAGCTACTTAGAAGGCTGAGGTGGGAGAGTCTCTGGTGCCTACCAGTTCAAGACCAGCCTGGGTAACACAGTAAGATGCCATCTCAAGTAATAAGAGTTGTGGGTCACAAACAAACATGTGGCCCAGCAAGACACCCTATCTCATGTGGGCATGCAGTTTCATTTCTGAACTTGTGTTTGATGGTTAAGGGTGTTAGGCAGTGAGTTTCCTGAGAAACTGGCTGTCAGGCCAGACAGTGATGGCACACGTCTTTAATCCCAGCACTTGGAAGGCAGAAGCAGGTGGATCTCTGTGAGTTTGATGCCAGCCGGGTCTACAGAGCAAGTTCCAGGACAGCCAGGACTACACACAGAAATCCTGTCTTAAAATAAAAGCAAAAGGGGTGGGGAGGGGCTGTTGCTATGGGGCTCAGGTTGGCCTAAAACTGTAGCTCCTCTGCCTCAGCCTACTGAGTGACAGGATCCAATATGTCCTGTAGGTATGTGCCCACCACACCTGGAAGGAGGCGGGCCTGCCTTGAAGCCTGGGTGCCAGCAGCTCTCTGGACTCTGATGTGCTAGGTTTTTTCTGAGCCAACTGCTGGTGGCTTGGAGCTAAGTTCCTGCCCTGCCCTCATTTACTTCCCACTGACTTTGTCAGAGAAAGGAAAGGCAGCGCAGCAGGGGTAGAAACACAGACTCAGGCTGGCAGCCTGGCCATGGAAGCTCAAGGTCAGAAATCCTGGGACTCCTGCAAAGAAAGGGAAGTGGGGTGCCTCTTTCTGCCTGAGCAGGAGGATGCCTGGATACAGGTGCGAGGCTGAAATGGGAGGGCCTGGGAACTGTGTGGCCAGCTCCTGCCCCAGGAAAAAGGCATCCCTCACTGGCTGGAAGAGTGGAGGACTGCGCCAAGGTAGAGGGGCTGAGAGCACCGGAATGTGAAGTGTCAGTGAGAGGTTAAGGCGGCGGGCCAGGAGCACGGTGTTCTCTGGGAGCACGAGGCCTCTCAGCTAGCCACAGAAGTGGAGGTAAAAACCCTCCACCCCCTATCCCACACTGTTGTGAATAACCCTAATAATTCACTGGCTCATCAAAAATGAAAAAGGAAACTATGTGCGAAAAAAATCTATGATGTGCACTTTCCCTAGAGAAAAGAAAATGTACACCCGGGTGGCCCTGGCGGGGTCACAGAGGCCGGTGACTAGTTTTAAGACCTATTTAACTTGAGTGTTATGTCCTTTTTTGTTGTTTTAGTCTTCTCATACTGAGGCTGGAACCCAGAGCCTTGCACACAGTAGGCGAGGGCTCGCCCACTGAGACCAAGCATTAGACGAGGTATGGGGGTTCCCCAGAGTCCTCCCTGCTGCCTGTGAAGCGGCTCTAGTAACGCACACCGGAAAAAGCCAGGACAGCAAGGGACAGAAGGGTAACAGTCAGGAGTTGGAAGGCACACATGAGAGGCGGGTCAATAGCACTGGGGTCTCGGGCCTGATCTATGATGCCTTGGACATGGGAGTCCCATCTGCAAGTCCGCAAGCACGGAGGGTGGCTGCTGTACCCTCCTACCTGCCCTCAGAAGGGATCACAACTGTTTCTGCCCTGGAACCTTAAAAGAGAAGCAGAGCTGGGAACTGTGCTATCTCTAGGGAGCTGGAGAGAGGGCCTAATGAGGAAGGGTGTAGTGAGGAAAGCCTGAGAGCCAGGCCGCTGCCTTCCCCAGATACTAATCAGGGGCTCTCAGGAAGGCATGGATGTAGTCAGCCAGGACAGCTCCTCTAGCAGGCTTTCTGGGCACTGCTGACCAACCTGCAGTACAGACCAAGAATATCTAAGGTGGGGGCTAGGACTGAGAGAGCCCACGGTATGCCAAGGCAGCCCAGACATTTGTTAAATTTGTTTTCTTTTGAGACAGGGTAACTTTTTTAATTGTTAGGAATTTTGCAAGCCAGTTGACAGTATGTTGGAAGCTTAGAGCCAGCTGTTGTAGAAACTGAGAATGTTACAAATAATGGTCTCTTGGCCTCCTTTCTGGAGAGTCTACGGCTACCACAACAGCACTGAAAAGACTCGACTAGGACCTCGTCAGATCTGAGGTCCATGATGGCAACCTACCCTCTCATTCACATGGGCTCTTTCTCTGAATTCTACAGCCAGGGACATCACCACTGGCTCTTCACACAGGCCTCACAGCATGGCAGGCACACAAGGACACCACCACCGGCCCCCAAGTACCGTGCTGGCCAGGCTTGTCTATAACAGGAGCTTTCTGAGCCTGCTGTCCCCTAGGCTCTGAGCGTGTCACCACTCTACCTCCACCTCATTAAGTGTCTCATTAACTCTGCTTTTCCCCGCTTCCCAAGCCACCACCAGCTCCCAGCTCCCTAGAATGGGACTGCAATTTAGCTGGTCCCATTGGCCTCCACCAAGAGCCCTCTCTGATTGGTAGACCCAGAGGTCACAGCCAGGAGCGGCCAAGCACAGCTAGAACACACACCTACCTGGATGGGCCCCTTCAGGCTCACCACATTCTGGAGAAACAAAAAAATGCTGCAAGGTGGTGGCTTGCTGCAGGACAAAGGACACCCACAGAAGTGGGAGACCGGCCTCCACCTGCTGTCTGTGACTGGCCAGAGAGTCAGGAGGCTGTCTATTGGGGTAGACACTAAACACCCCGACACCTCACTCAGGTTCCCGGGCTCAGACCCAGGCCAGGAAGAAACTCTTGCCTTCCTTCTGCAGGGCTGAAGAGACCATTCACAGAGTCCACCCAGACCAAGGTCAGCATCAGAAACACCAGCACCATGGAAATGCCCCAGACATTACGGTCTCTTCCAGCCCTGGCAGCAAGAGACAGTTCTCTGAGGCTGACTTCCTCCTCTGCTCCATGTCTCTTCTGGGGCTGGCCTTATGAGTAAGAGGGAGCTCCCTGAGGCAGTACCCATTCTCAGCAGAGAGCAGAGGAGCACATCCACTACAAACTTGAGGTTCCAGGAAGCCATGTGGCATTGTGCATCTTGAAGAAGGCTCTGCCACTACAAAGCCCCAGGAAGAGCTGACGTTATCCCCGTCTCCAGGGGCTGATGAGGGGAAAGTAAACACTGGGGCAAGGCAAGAGAAGAGAGGACATGAAGGAAAGGGCCAGGCCGCGTACTCGGGGCCAGCTCTGCTCTGGCTCCCAGCGTGTTCTGACACACAGGCAAGCACTGTAGTCCTCTCAACAACAGTGTGAGGAAGGAGCTCAGAGAGCAGAGCTGGGGCCAAACTCAGCCTTCTACCTTCAGAGCTCTTAGGCCCAGTGCCTCCCACGTTACACCTGCAGTAGGACTGTAAGTCAGGAAGCAGTGGCAGGTGCCATCACAACCAACCCATGCTCCTAAGGGAAGGTACATATGCTCAAGAGCCGACCAGAGGTTAGGCACAAAATGTGCTCTTTCCTGGTGGCATAAAAGGCTGGCTCTGCTATGACAGCAGCACAGACCATGAGGGAAGAGGTATAACACCGGGCCGCTTACCTGCTACTTCCACAATCTGATGCCGGGCAATGTCGTAGTAAGGGTCATCCCATTTCAGGTGTGTGACAGGTTCTGGAGAACTGCTTTTGGAGTCATCTGAGGAGCGCGGCAAAGGCAGAGTTACCCTGGGGGCTGGCCCAGCACTTTCCGCATGACTCACCCTCTTTGGCCTGCCTCGAGGGAGGCCTGTGACCCTGGCCAGACCCTAGGGCTGGTCTCCTTGCCCCAACCTTACCCCCTAGAGTCCCCTCCAGCAGGAAAAAAGTGGTGTCTACAGCTGCCCGAGACACTGTGCCACCTACCTGACTTGGGAAAATCTGGCATTTCATCAGAAGGCCAGTTCTTCTCATCAATGGAGGCCAGCTTCAACTGGTTCAGAGCTTGGCTGGTATCATCTAGGGTCAGGTCATCTTGCAGTTCTGAGAGAGGGTCCATGGTTACGGCTGTTCCCTATAGAAGAACCGGAAAAGAAATCTAGGTGGGCAGGGGAGGGAAGGTGGTGGGTCAGAAAGCCTTCCTTCTCACCTGTGCAGTTCTGACACTGAGCCCTGCTGTCCCCTTCTTTCCTCTTCTGGCACCCTCGTCCCTATTCCTCAACAGTCCTCATCTTGCCAAGAGTTCCACAAGCACGTTGCCAGGAAAGGCAGCTGGACAGTGGACAGCACAGCTCAGCACCTCCCTTTAGGTCCTCAGCTGGGCAGGAAGGGCCGTGCCAGGTTCCTTACTGCCTATGACCCAGCTGACCAAGTAACACAGTCCCAGCAACCAGGGCATCTCCTCGGAGGTTCTACAGTGCAGACGCCTCATGCCCCAACAGTTACAGGGTTAGATGTTACAAGATCCGAGGAATCTAAGGGTCTTGAAATACCATGTCTGAAAAAGGCCAGCTGGGCCCTGGCTATTCCACTCCTCTCTTCAAGCCAGAGATGACAGGGTTCCAGAAAAAAAAGGGCCATGCCTGAGATGCTCAGGTGGGTTTACCTGGGACAAGGAGCAGCAGCCAGGCAAATGGAATCTACCTGTCCGTCCCAGCAGGTCCCTTGCAGGTCCCTAAGGCTCTCAGGCCCCCTCTAAACCCGTAGGGGCTCCAGACAGTAGTTCTGCTATGGCGGGTCAACAGATTACCTTAAAGATTAGAGGGCAGGGGGAAAGAGGCTGCTCCTAACACCTACAGCACAGAGGCAAAGCTCTGAAGGACAGAGGAACTGGCAGGAATGGAAGAGTCACTACCAACACCAGGTCTAGGACCTGGCCAAAAGAGGTAGCACTCTCCGCTCTGGGCCCATAAAAAGCACCGCCCCCCCGAGCTTACCAGAGGATGAAGGTTTCAATCCTACCCATTTGCTCAACCCCAAAGAAGAGACTGCATTCCTGCCTCCAGAAAAAAATGACATATATGGTCAGAGAATCAGCAAGGCAGATAAGAAGAATGGAAAGGGCCTGGGGGTAGGAAGAAGAGAAGAGCTGCCACTTAAGAGCCCCACATTGTGGGCTAGCAGGATCGTGACAGCCTCCCCTCCCCGAACACATTACAGCCTAGGGCTCTAAATGGTGAACCAGCTCCAAGGGCTAAGCAACAACTGCCTTGTTTCCACGGCAACAGACTGAGTCAGTAGGAAAACTGTTACAAGCTTTCAAAGCCAAAGACCAAAGCCCCTTTTCTTTCTTGCTCTTTCTCTTTTCTGTCCCTTGGCCTTACCCACTACCTCTGCTGGCCACCAAAATACAGGTTTCTCCCTAAGAAGACAAAAGGCAACCCTGTCTCATTTGGGAATACATTTCTCTTGGTGAGTAATGTTTTGCCTTTGCCCAAAGCACAGATCCTTACTCCCCACCCCCACCTTTAAAAAAAAAAAAAAAGATTTATTTATTATTTATACAACATTCTGCCTGCACACCAGATCTTAATATAGATAGTTATAAGCCACCATGTGGTTGCTGGGAATTGAACTCAGGACCTTTGGAAGAAGAGTGAGTGTTCTCAACCTCTGAGCCATCTCTCCAGCCCTTTTTTTCCTTTTCTTTCTTTCTTTCTTTCTTTTTTTTTTTTTTTTTTTTTGGTGTTTGGTTTTTCAAGACAGGGTTTCTCTGTTATAGCTGTAGCTGTCCTGGACAGGCTGTGTAGACCAGGCTGCCCTAGAACCCAAAGACTCAGGCCTCTCCCTCCCTGAGTGCTGGGATTCCAGGCGTGGACCCCTCCTCCTCCAGTCACTCTTCAATCCTGAGGAATTTACCTGACCCACCTGCTTACTCCTTCCCATTCAACTAAGAGCTTATAAGGCCGATTCTCAAGGATCCTCTGCTTAAGAGGTTCTCAACCTGTGGGTTGCAACCCCTTTGGAGGTCAATGACCTTTCAACGGGGTCACCTAAGACCATTGGAAAACATAGATGTTTACATTACAATTCCCAAGAGTAGCAGAATTACAGTTATGAAGTAGCAACAAAAATAATTTTATGGTTGGGAGGGACACCACAACATGAGGAACTGTATTAAAGGTCACAGCATTAGGAAGGTTGAGAACCACTGGTTCATTAAAGGACAGATTCCAGCCACCATCTCCTGCCTACACCTTCTCTCCATCTCTATCACTACCCAGGTTTCAGGAGCTCCTTGACCTCCCCTCACAGCTATCCAAGAGAAATCTTTTTTACACAGTGAGTACCTGATATGATAGAAAAAGCATGAAAAAGCAGGGAAACTGGGTTAGAGTCCTGTCTAAGCCAAGGACTGCAAAGATCCCCGGCAAGAGCTTACATTTCCTTATCTACAGAAGTAAAGGCTCCTCCCCGAAATATAACTCTCCAGTGTGCAGAGGCACTTGTGTGGAAGCAAACAGGATTAAAAGTAGCAGCTAGAGCTGGGCTATGTGTGAGGGAGGAAGAGGGAGACTATGAGAAGAAAGCTGAACTTGACCCCCACCTCTTTCCCAGGGAACTTCTCGACTGTCAGTTCTTTTAGACCTGAGCGTCTTCAACTCCCACAAAATCTCCTTGACTAGCAAAATTAATCACAGTGGTGCCTTGCTCCTTGGCCTCTCTCACCTGCTTCTATTTCCTTCTCTGATGTTTATCTGTTGTTCAGTGCATGGAGGAAGGAAACCTGTGAAGGGGAATTCTAACATAAAATGGTAGAAATGAAATATACCAGCCACCCGTGAGCCCTACTCCACTCTGCAAAACACACTCTCTCTCAGATTAGTGTTCCATTCTCAGCAGGCAAACTGTTTCTTTTAGAAAGTGTTTGAAAATCACTTCAGGCAAAGGCTTTGACTTTTGCAAAATAGTGATCCTCTCTGAAATTCTGATATTTTTTCACTAAGAAAAATGAACAAATCTGTGAGATCTTGAATGCATTTTCAAAAACTTCACAAACCCTCTGAGAATTATTGCTTAAGAACCTATTTCAAGGGCCAAATCCATAGCGCAGTAGTAGAGCACTTTGCCTGCAAACACAGGGCCCCTGATTCCCTCTCCAGCAGAGAAAAACAAAGCAATTTATTTAGAATAATGACCGGCACATAGCAGACACCCTGTCATTAGTTGGATGAATGAATGAATGAATGAATGATTTTACTAATCGAAGGAAACCCAACATCTGTGGAAGGCACAAACTGCACAACTGCACTACTAGTTCAGCATATGCTATCAAAAGCATTTTACAAGTTCGGCAGAATGAGGGGGGAGTGTAAATGAGCAAATTGCTAAAGGTCATGGAACCCAGAGGCAGGATTTTAATCCCCAAGCACCACTCTGAGGTGGTCTCTTGGTGAAAGTTAACCCTCAACAATATTCTATCAGCCACAAAGTTCACAGGGTTCAAGAGGCAATACAAGAGGCAGCCAGACCTAATCTCAGGATAGAACAGATAGCAAGTATTTGTCATAGTATTTGCTGTTGTTACAATCAGAGTGTTTTGTGACTCCGGGAAAACACAGATCCTACATGACAGCAAGCTCTCTAAACTATAATCATGTTTGCATTGAGTCAAAACAAACAAACAAACAAACAAACAACAGATTGAGTTATTTCATTTCACATGAAAGTGAGACAAAAGCATGGCCTATCGAGTGGCAAGGTGGAACACTTCCCCCTAATTTCTCGATCTCAGTATTTTGCCAGATCCGATCAGGGAAGACTTCTCCTTCCCACGGGTTCGCTCTGGCTTGGCCTGTGCCTTGTAGTGGGCACGAAGAAGTCTCTTCATTGCAGGCACCAAAGTAGGACAAAATCCCAGCAGCGGAGAGGTCAAGGCCCCCAGGCCCAATTCCACCCCCGCGCCACTGCCTGGGATTCACCCCTTTCCAATCCAATCCTCTCAGAGGGTCACAGCAGCTCTTTCCCTCCCGGCCCCCAGCCCCCACCACGCCCAGCAAGACCCCGCGCTCCGCAGCTCACCGCGCTCAGAAAAGGCTCCCTTTGCCACGCCTGTCAAAGCTCGGCAAACATCCGGCTCGGAGCTGGAACGGGAACCGCCCCCTCGGGCGGCCCCCAGCTCCCCAACCACTTCCGCCATATCTTCTACGACTTCCGACTTGCTGCCCGGTCCAAACATGGCTTTCCTGGAGCCCCAACCACTTCCGGCAACCACCTGCCAAAATGACCTCTTGGGAAACTAGACAGCAGAACTGTCCGACTCGTTGGTATCCAAAGTGGGTGGGGAGGACATATTGGTTCCGCTTTTCCAGATACTGGGAACTACCGGGCTTCTGAAATCCGAGGTTCGTATCGGTCTCGGACAGTTTTGCCTGACAAGTACTTCCAAACTCTCAGTCCAGTGCTCCAGTGATGCCGAACTATCTGGATTCTTTTTTATTTAATTTTGTTTATATATTTATTACAATCTATTCACTTTGTATCTCCGCTGCAGCTCCCTCCCTCTTCTCCCAGTCCCACCCAACCTCTCTCTTCTCCCCCAATGCCCTTTCCCTAGTCCCCTGATAAGGGAGGTCCTCCTCCCCTTTCCTCTGACCCTAGCGTATCGGGTCTCATCAGGACTGGCTGCATCATCTTCTGTGGCCTGGTAAGGCAGCTTCCCCTTCAGGGGGAGGTGATCAAAGAGCCAGCCATTGAGTTCCTGCCAGAGACAGCCCTGCTCCTATTGCTAGGGAACCCACTTGGACACTGAGCAGCCAATGGGCTTCCTATGAACTGGGGGTAGCTACCTGGATTCTTAAGCGTAATTTGGAAATCAAGGACGGTTTCCGGAAGGACCGGGACAAAAAACGCTCACTTCCGGTGGAGGGGAGTGGCGGGGAAACCTCTGATCCAGGATGGAGGAGGTGCTCGTGGGGAAGACACTCCGTGAGTGAACTGCGATGTCTGCGACCCTCAGCCCTGGACTAGATGTCCCCAGCGTTTTCTAGTCGCCGCCTTACCCCACATCCTTTTTTCTCTCTGGCATGACATTCCGCTCCGGTGTCCTAAGAGCCTAAACTCCCTTCAAGCCTCTCAAAGGCCTCGATAGAGCCTTGTTTCTCCCTCGGATTCCTGAGGCATAGCTGGCCCTGCATCTTTCCCCAACCCCACGGCCGCTTCTTCATTGCCTTCCCGTCTCCCTGCAGCCCCCGAGCCGCGCCTGGGCCAGGACTCAGGATGGAGCCCTTCCGGAGAAGGCCTTGCTCAGGGCCTCAAAGACTTCCCGCCTGGTACGAGCCCTGCCATCCTTGCTTTAAGGAGCCTCCCCCAGGGCTTGGCCGTGGGACCCTCGAGCGCCAGGAAACAGCACTTGGGGGTCTGGTGTGTCGGAGCGCCCCTGCAGCCCGGACTGCATTGGGGACCTCTGGAAGAAGACTCTATCTTGGAGAAGGGCGAGGGATTGAAGCCACGGCTGGAGGAGGTATTAAAGAATAGGACATCTCCTGTCTGAAAATTTGGGGGAGGTTCAGACATTTCCAGACAGCGCTTCAAGTTTGTTAGGAGCAGTGTATGTCAAGCGCTGGGAAGTCGGTTTTTGCCCCTTCACCAAGAGACTGCCTTACTCTACCTAAGCTGCAGTAACTACGGAATGCAGATGCAAAAAAAAATTGTGAAAAACTGAATTCCTAGGGTGTCGGTAGTGACAAAGGTCAGAAGGTAAGGTTACCAGGATCAGATTTGAGTCTTGTCAACACACCTCATGTTACTCACCTGTAAGAGAAAGGCTGTTACCAAGACCATTTGGAAGACCGGAGGAAATGATACAAGGAAAGGTTTCCGGTACATAGTGAGGATTGTTTTAAAAGATTGGTGCTGTTCCTGCAGCATTTTCTGTTCAGTACTCGCTGGAGGGCTGTCCTGTTTAGAGTTTAGCAGTTTTTCACACCTTTTTGAGAGGGAGGCGAGTGGACTCTTTGATCTTCACTGACTGAAGGTTAAAACAGCATCATAATGTAGAGGCAACACCAGAGGCTGCTGCTAACCTAAGAGTTTCATCTTAGGAAGTACAAAGAAAGAAAAGCTGGTTGGTGGAGCTCACCTTTAATCCAGCACTAGAGAGCCAGAGGATTTCTGAGTTCAAGACCAGCCTGGTCTACAGAGTAAGTTCCAGGACAGCCAGGGCTACAAGAGAAACCTGAGGGTGGGGGTCATTTTGAATTTGCCCCAGAAAGGTTTCACACAAATTTGATTTTCTATTACTTCCTGCCCCTCCCAATGAAAAGGACTTTTATTGTTTCTTCCAGGACTTGTCACTAGGCCCATGGGGAGCCGTATGCACCTGGAAACACAGTTCAGCTTGGGTCAGGTAAGTTACACAAGTATATATCCACTGTACTTAACTTGTACTTAACTTGACTCTGAAGCCAGCTCTAATTGCCTACCCAGGGGTCTCTTCCAGCCTGTGTTGCAGAGGGGTCAGATCTGCTGGGCCAACTTTCGCCCTGTTTTGCAGTTTGGCGCAGCCAGGCACGCTGCAGAGCGATGGGAATGTGTCCTTGGTTCGGATCAGTGGGAAGCTTCACCTGCAGGTGTGCCAGCTCGTGTTGCCCGGCTTCGAGCTGCTGCTGTGCCCACAGTCTCTCTCCAAGGGCCTAAGCGTCAAGTGCCCCAGGCTAGAAGCAGCAGCAGCTGTCATGGTGGTGGCAGAAGAGGACCCCGCTATACAGGAAGAAGTGGCCTCCCCCGGAGAGCATGCGGTAGAGTCTCGCACAGGTGTGTGGCGTTTGTTTAAGGTCATGTGGCCCACAGAGAAGATTATGGTCTCCTGGGGAAGTGGCTCCGTTGGTCAAGTGTTCACTGCACAGGCATGAGAACCAGGCTCTGCATCCCCAGCATCTGTGTGAAAGCTGAACCTGGTGGTAGGTACTGACGCACACACGCCTGTGAGTCCAGCTTTTAGGCAGAAACAGGCCAAACCATCGAGTTAGTGACAAACCCTGTCTCAGTTAGGACATTAACTTGTGGCTTCCCACACGTACAAACCCCATAATATAAAGATATAAATGCCCAGTCCCGGATTGTTACAAAACAATGTGTGATAAGAACAGCAGTTTCGCTGGGCAGTGACTGTGTATGGTTTAATCCCAACACTCCAAAAAAAAAAAAAAAAAAAAAAAAAAAAAAAAAAAAAAAAAAAAAAAATTGGATTTCATTAGGGTGTTTTTGTTTGGTTTGGTTTGTTGGTTTTTCAAGACAGGGTTTCTCTGCATATCCCTGGCTGTCCTGGAACTCGCTCTGTAGACCAGGCTGGCCATAATGCAGAGAACTGCCTGCCTCTTCCTCCAAATGCTGAGACATTTTTATTTCGTGTACATGAATGTTTTGCTTACGTTTGTCTGTGTACCGCCTTGTGCATTGCCTGAGAAGTCCAGAAAAGGGCACTGGGTTCACTGGGAACAGAGGTACACCCATGTGGGTGACAGGAATTGAACTTCAGTTCCCTGGAAGAGCAGTCAGTGTTCTTAACTGCTGAGCCATCCCTCCAGCCCCACCTTGCCCTCTCTTATTCCCCAGTCCTAGTCCCCTTTGTCTTCCCAAACAGTACCCCTTCTCCTCTTGTGTGTTATCTCTGAAGTTGGAGCAGGGATTTTCATTTTACAGATGAGCCCAAGCTGGGAGATGTGGGGGTCCCATCCCATTGTGTCTCCAGTGGAGAGCAAGAGTGCCATTACTCTAGACTGGCCTTCCTCTAGGGATTAAGCAGTCAGCCATCTTGATGTGCTTCCCCAGAAGTATTTAAGAATAACAGGAAAGAGAAAGTGCAGCTTGCACGCCAGGGAACATACATGTGTTAGTTTTCATGCTGAAGAACGGAGCCCAGCAAGTATGATTCCCCAGTAATACCATCTGCCACCAGGCTTTGCTGACCCTGGCACCCGTCTCTGTCCTCATAGATCCTGGTCGCAAGTCGCCCCATACCATCCAAGGAGACAGTATGCAAGGCTCTGAACCTGTGGCCCAAACCCAGGATCAGCCTTTCGAGGATAGCCAGCCGCCGGGCCTGCTGCACCAAGATGGCAGCATAGGTAAGGAGGCCCTGCCACAGTCACCAACTGAACCTCAGAGCAACTCGGCTGCCCGGAAGAGCCCAAAGAGCAATGCAGCCAGTTTGTCACCTCCCGGGGACACCCAGGTGCAAACCTGCCCAGCCAAGAAGTCAGATGGCCCCAGCAGTCAACGACTGCCTACAGCAAAGGTCTCAGAGCCCGGAACCCAGCTCCCTGACCTCCCTGTGGTGCTCTGCAGCCCTCCTCACCCAGTAGGAAGCTCCTCAAAGCAGGGCCGGCGCTACCAGTGTGGGGAGTGTGGCAAGGCATTCCTGCAACGATGTCACCTCAAGAAGCATGCTTTCGTACACACAGATCACAAGCCCTTCCTGTGCACCGAGTGTGGCAAAAGCTACAGCTCCGAGGAAAGCTTCAAAGCCCACATGCTGGGCCATCGCGGGGTGCGGCCCTTCCCCTGTTCACAGTGTGACAAGGCTTATGGTACCCGTAGAGACCTCAGGGAGCATCAGGTGGTCCATTCAGGCGCCCGGCCCTTCGTGTGTGAGCAGTGTGGCAAAGCCTTTGCCCGCCGACCTTCCCTGCGGCTACACCGAAAGACCCACCAGATGCCAGGTGCCCCTTCAGCATGCCCGTGCCCAGTGTGCGGGCAGTGCCTGGCCACCCAGGGCTCCCTGCGGAACCACATGAGGCTCCACACCGGGGAAAAACCCTACCTCTGCCCCCACTGTGGCCGAGCATTCCGCCAGCGGGGCAACCTCCGAGGACACTTGCGACTGCACACCGGGGAGCGCCCCTACCAGTGCCCACACTGCGCCAATACTTTCCCCCAGCTGCCCGAGCTGCGGCGCCACCTCATCTCCCACACCGGCGAAGCCTACCTGTGCCCCATGTGTGGGAAGGCCCTCCGAGACCCGCATACACTCCGTGCTCATGAGCGCCTACACTCCGGGGAGAGGCCCTTTCGCTGCACCCAGTGTGGCCGAGCTTACACGCTGGCCACCAAGTTGCGCCGCCACCTCAAGTCCCACATGACGGACAAGCCCTACCGATGCCCCCTCTGTGGCATGGGCTACGCACTCCCTCAGAGCCTCAAGCGACACCAGCTCAGTCACCAGGGTGGGCTCTCCTCCAGCTCTTCTCTGCCTCCTGCTGCCCCTGAGCCCACTTTGGTACTCCTACGGAGTGAGCCAGAGCTGCTGGACACTTGCAGCCAACAGGAAGCGGCCCCGGGTGGGGGTATTGTAGAGGTCACCGTCTCTGAGAGCCAAGAAGAATGTTTTGTGGTACCGGAGGAGCCACCCCCAAGCCCCAGCCTGGTGCTGATCCATAAGGAGGTGGGCTTTAGTGGCTGGGCTGAGGTGGTAGAGGTAGAGACAGGCACCTGACGCCCTAATCATGTCCACCCACCTTTCCCCTATAAGAGCTCCTCCTGAAGACTGTTCTAGCAGAGTCTGTGTGTCTGCCGTTTTCTTCAAGTCTTGTGATAGCTGCAGGAATCAGGCTGACAGGCGTTTTAGGGTTGGAAAGGCCTGGCTGTCAATCCACACATAGCATGTCGTCTGTGGGTCAGGTTTTAGTTCATTTTGGTTGCTTTTCACATCTGAAGGCTGTGAAGACTAAAGGACAACAAGATGGGGAGGGTGGGGCTTGTGAACTTGCATGACTTGCCCCTGCTGTAAGCCTAGACAATTCGGGGTGCTGGGATGAGCCAGATAGGTAGCTGACCATGGTGATAAACCTGTAGTCCTAGCCCTCAAGCAGAGGCAGAAGCATTGAGTCTGAGGCCAGCATGGACTGCATAAGGGGACCTGTCTCGGAGATGGGGAGGAAGGAATGGCCTTTACAAAGCTGGTGACGCACTGAGCTGTGGGTGTGGGTCAAATTACTGAGTAGGCTGGATATGGTAGCTCATACCTGAAATTCATGTCCTTGCAAGCAAAAGTTTGAGGCCTGCCTGGCTGTAACTTAGAAGGAAAATCATTGGATACCAGTTCAGAGGGGGCATGTTAATTGTTAGTGTGATTGTGTAATGTGGTCTGGGGGCCACCCAGGGTCTCACCAGGGATGACAGGAGCATACCTTGATGGTGGGCCAGGCTTCGTGTGAACTTACCCTGTGAGACCGTGAGACCATTCTGACTCCATGACCAGCCTCAGTTCACAGTCAAAAGGAGCAGTCCTACATTTCCATTTCCCCAATAAAAACCCTCCTCCCCCCTGAACTCAGGGCTCTACACTGGGTCAGTGACAGTGTGAGCCTGAGCTTGAGCTTGTAATAAAGACCCTACTGCTTTTGCATCAGAATTGGCTTCTTGGTGGTCTTTGTGGTCCCTGAGACTTGGACATAACATCTTAGGGGCTCATCTGGGATTCACCGAACCCCCCACCCCAACCACCTCACCCCACCCTCGCCACAAACACACCAAAGGGTAGCGTCTTATCTTCATCTGTCTAGTTTCTGTTTCAGGCCTCGAGGCGAAATCTGTAATCTGTGTGGTTGGAAACAGTTAGGGCAGATGAGCTGGACAGCCGTGACCACTGGGGCCTGGGAGATGGTCCAGACCCTGGCTGAGGGGATGGAGTGCCCCTAGTTTCTATAATCTCTGGAGAAGGATGAGACAGGTTGCTCCAAAGAAATGGCAATTCGCATCTGTCCTACTTTTGGTTTTCCTGCCCCAGAAGGGTGGGATCTGTTATCTGTGTCTTTCTAGTTGACTGTCTTGTCTATTGCTGCCTATTTTTTTGTGACTAAGACTGACAGCATGGGACAGACTCCTTCTAACCCCCTAGACTTAATTCTTGCCCATTTCAGGGAGGCTCGAGCCATGCTCCACAGGTCAGGCTCTGCCAATGGCAGTGGCAAGGAGGCGCAAAGGGGTGGCTGCAGTATTCAGAGCCCCAGGCTTGGCACCTCCTGCTCTGGCCCCTGGTCTGGCGGAGGTTGACAGAGCCCGTGTGGAATATGCCGCTGCCCCAGTCTGGCCGAACTTCAGGCCACCATTCCAAACTCTGGTGTAGCTTCTCACTATGGGTAGGAAAGACTGGCAGACGGCAATAATGGCTGTAGGGTGGGCAGGAGAGAGCCAAGTCTCTCTGCTTCCGCTGAACACTCCGGCTGTGGCTGTGGGGTGGTCGGGGTCATGCAGTCAGGGTCAGGTGTGAGTTTGGTGGGGTACCACCCCACCTTGGCCTGCGCCCGGCCACACTGCCAGGGATGCACTTCCACCTGGATGGCTGGAAAGGCCCTGTTGGGGAAGATGCTGGGGGAGGGGTGGTGTTAGAGTCACCCATGGAATGGAGCCATTCCCACCCCAAGTGCAGCACCCAGGGACAGCAGCACTAGCTGAAATCCTGAGGCAGAGGGCACTTGTGCCTAAGTTTGCATTTCCCCAAAGCAACTCACCGTGTATGGAAAAAACACAAAAACACAAACTGCCCTAGGCAGAAACCACTCCTAAGTAGAGCCAATCAGGAAACAGCTGGAAAATATCCAGCATCCCTGAGGTCTGTGGCTAGCTCCATCAATGTTAGTTAGTGATGTTAGCCAGTCACGTTGTAACAAGCTTGCTCTTGCTGAATATCACCCAATCATATAACTGCTAAGCTGGAAATTCCTGGTCCTTGCTCAAACTCCAATAAAAACCCTCCTCCTGCTGAGCTCAGGGCTCTACACTTTAGAACCCCTGCATCGCTGCATCGGGTGACAGTGTGGGCCTGAGCTCGAGCTTGCAATAAAGACCCTACTGCATTTGCATCAGAATCGGCTCCTTGGTGGTCTTTGGGGTCTATGAGACTTGGGCATAACAACCATGTTGTAAGTACTGTCTTTTTAAAAAACAAACAAGGCATAAAGTGCTTTAAATATTATTCCCATAGCTACAAAGCTACCTGTGGGCTGACTTTAAAGTCTGCCTGTTCTACTTCATGCTGTAGGTAGGCTTCCAGTATTGGCACTGTACTGTCTTGGTTCACCTGGACTTGGTAGATGAGTGGCCTTTCAAGAGGGATCACAGGAGTGGAGCTGTAATCCCAGGAGACACCTCTGGTAATGTGAGGCTTTACTGACTAACATTGTGGGCAGTGGAAGCCTGATGAAAGAGCTAGGAGCTAGGCAGGGGAAAGGGGACAAAACCCATGTGGCCACCTAAGAGCAAGGAGTGGAGGGACCATGGTGGACCAGGATGGTGAGGACAGGGAGAGGTTGTGTCAGCTGAAGTAGGAGTTTTGCATAGATATATTTTCTGGGAGGCACAAGTGATGGAATTCAGAGCCGGTGGCTGAAAGAGCCATCATGAGTTAGGTCTCACGGAACTCAATCCATGACATTTCAGATGTGTGCTGGCATAGGCTCTGAGAGCTTTGAGAAGCAGGCAGGTGGGAAAAGGAGCCAGGTCACTTAGTAGATAGGTGGCCTTGACAGCTGTGAGAGCAACACGGAGGCCCTTAGCCAAGGCCATGAAGCCCTACTCAGGTCAGTGAGAGGGAAGAAGGCACGTCAGAAGAGTGAGGATCAGGATCCAGTGGAGACACAGACCAGAGAGGTGCCACAGAAGACGCGGTCAGCACTGCACGGACTTTAGGGTTGAAACTCTAAAGTCACTGGTGAATGGGCAGGGATCAGAAGCCTCATTGGATTCTCCACGGAAGAGAGGAGGGGAGACAGGAAACACTGATGTTATCTATTGTCCTTGTGTACCATGGAATAGTTGGAAGTCAGGACCATTTGGATGAGTTGGTTCGCTCCTTCTACCACGCATGTCCTGAAGAGGCGGGGCTTAGCAGCAGTCACCTTTACCTACTGAGCCATCTTGCAGGACCCAAGGAAGCTGCCATTCTTGTTTCATCCTCCTGTCCTGCAAAATATGCTATAATCCCTGACTCATCAGTGAGGAAAACTCAGAGAGGGTGACTGGCTGGCCAAAACCACACAGGAAAACTGAACTGTTTTGCAATCTCTGCATGTGATCATAATGGCAGAAGCAACCGGTATCCTGGCTTGCCTGTCTCTCTGCTGCCTGCTCAGTCTGAATAAAACTTAGTAGCAAAGCATGTCTGAAGTTGTCTAATGGGAGGAAAGACAGAAAGTGGCCTCTGGAGAAAAGCCACTTCACAGTCTGGAAAATAACTGCTAAGATTAACTTTAGTCAACCCTGGTTCTTGAGCTCACCTGAGTCCCTTTCTAGCTCCTTCCCACAATGCTTCTCAACTCAGGCACCATCCGGCAGTGTCTGCTAGAGCTCTTAGGCTGGATGGAGACACTCAGCTCCATCCAGGAGCGTGCAGGCAGGGCGTGGTTGGGCAGGGCAAGGCGTGGCTGGGCAGGCCATCCGCAGACCAGTAAGTGACGTTGACACCCTTTTTACATCCTCCACACTCCGATGGAGGGAGACCTTTCTCTATTAAGGCTGACAGCGTGAGGTCAGAACAGAGCCAATCCCCTTGACAGCCTGGGATTGTAGAGTCTGTTCTGCCACTTAATCACAGCCAGAGTTGAGACTGGCATTAAAGAGTGTTGTCCAAGCTTGGAGATAAGGAAACGAGGCCTAGAAACAGCCAGGGTCATGAGGTCAGTGCCCGGACTGAACACAGGCTTCTGTTGCCTGGCTTAGTGCTCTGGCAGGTCACATGAATGGCAATGTCCATTCTTGGGAAGACTAATATTTGATTTATTTGAGACAGGGTGTCAGTGTGCAGCTGTTGCCTGGAACTCACTGTGTAGTCCAGGCTAGCCTTGAGTTTATAGGGTTTCTTGCCTCAGCACCCATACCAGGTGCTGAGCAATAAGCCACACAGCTTATTGCTTTGGCATATACTGTATGTACTGAAAAGGAATGATTCTTGCCCTAGGACAGATTCTGTGAGAGCATTGCTGGACACCTATTTATGTATCTGAGTTAAGCTATATGGTAGCCCCATAGAACTACCTATGGAAGCCCAAATCAGAAACTGCAAGGTAGAGCTGGATATTGTGGCCTGCACCTACAGCCCCAGTACTTGGAAGGCTGAGGCAGGAGAGTCAAGAGTTTAAGCCCTGCCAGGCAGTGGCGGCACACACCTTTAATCCCAGCACTCGGGAGGCAGAGGCAGGCAGATCTCTGTGAGTTCCAGGCCAGCCTGGTCTACAGAGTGAGTTCCAAGACGGTCAGGGCTAAAACAAAGAGACCCTGTCTCTAAAAAAGAAAAGAAAAACAAAACCAGAAAGAGTTTAAGCCCCGACTGAACTACATAACAAAGTGCTCAGGAAAGAGGAGGGCGTTTGGGGATCCTACAACACAATAAACGTGAACCCTGTTTAGAGACCTTTGATGTTGTGGAGCCTCCGGGTCAGAAAACAACTCCATCATGAAACCAACTGTATGGCTGGATGGCTCTGTTCTCTTTTCTTCATTTTTTAAAATTTTTATTTATTGTTTGGGGGTAATGGGTATGCAGAGGCAGGCGATCTCTGTAAGTCTGAGGCCAGCCTGGTCTATAGTGTGAGTATCAGGACAGCCAAGGCTACACAGAGAACACCCTATCCCAAAACAAAACAAAACAAAGTTTTGCTTAGTTTTTTTTTTTTTCTTAATTTTATGTGTGTGAATTTTTCTTAACGCTTCAGGAATTTGTGTGTCATCCTTTCACAGGGGCCATGCTAATCTTCTCTGTATCGTTCCAATCTTAGTATGTGTACTGCCGAAGAGAGCACATGTGTGAGTGTTTTACCTGCAAGTATGTATGTGTATTTTGTGTGTGTAGTCAGACAAACGTTAGAGCCCCTGAGACTGGAGTTAGTGGATGTTTGTGAGAGGAATGCTGGGAACTGAACCAAGGTCCTCTGCAGGGGAACACGTGCTCTTAACTGATGAGCCTAGCCCTTTATTTTTTTATTTTTTATTTTTTGGGTTGAGACAGGGTTTTTCTGTGTAGCCCTGGCTGTCCTGGACTTACTTTGTAGACCAGGCTGACCTTAAATTCATACCAGTCTGCCTGCCTCTGCCTCCTGAGTGCTAGGATTAAAGAAAGGCAAGCATTATCATGCCCAGCATTCCATATGTATGTATGTATGTGTGTATATGTGTATGTATCTTAAACTTTTTAAATGAATTATTATTGTGTGTATATGTGATGTGTGTCAACACGTGTGCCAGGACACAGGAGAATTCAGAGGACAATATTGTGAAATCAGTTCTCACATTACACCTTTCCGTGGGTTCTCCGGATGAGGGTTAGGTTGCCAGGCTTGTGCTGTTTGATACTCAGTTTTAGTTGTCAGCTTGACATAATCTGTAGTCACCTGGACAATCCTCCATGGGGGATTGTCT